CGTCAAGACCATGACTGGATAAGCAAAACAGGCGTTCAACAGGCTGAAATTAGTGTGGAAATCTCCCGTACTCAGCACAACAAGAACAAGATTCAGATTTTCAAAACTAGTGTCAAGTTTGGGCATAGCATACTACGAAGGACACTTTCAAAAGGCTTCTGAATGCTTTCATTAACGGTTAGCTTTCTTCGCTGGATACTGGAAATTAGATGTCCAGCCAGGAAGGATAAGCAAGCAGCAAAAACAGTCAACAACCTATTACCCAGCAAATATGCAGAAAGAAATGAAGATGAGCTAGACATTCACTGAGAAGACATTGAAGTGACACCAAACACTAAACTGTTCAGAGGAATTTAGGTGGGAAGCGACGGTTTGAACATGGAGAAGACGATGTGAAGAGGAAATTAAGGCTTGTGGGTAGCTGTGAAATCATCTGAAGCCCTATATTTCACTCGGAACGCAAAGAATAAATTATTATTATTATTACAGCTATTATGAGGATTGCGTGCACAGACCATCTAGACGAATGACAGAGGTATAATGAATAAACTTTCAGGGTAATTTTTGTGGTAAAATGACGATTTAACTGATGACACAATTACTTAATATCTGCATATTGCTTAAAACAGGCTCCTATCAAACTAAATCATAGTGACTATGTGAGATTACTATCAGAAACTCATCCAGTTACATGCAATCTTCACTAGCTAATCGATGAAACAGATGCAGCTATCTAGCATGTCAAAGTCAGACAGAGTAAAATAATAGACAGTTATGTCTACATTGAAACAGCTTACAAGTATATTTACTCCTATTTATATTTGTGATTTCTGTTTGGTATATCTGGAATGGGCTAATTTCAAAGGATGCTTCAATATAAGCTGGAGTACTTGTTCAGTGGAGGCCAACATTAAAATCCAGGAGGCATGTTTCATCCCGTTTTGAACTCATCGGCCGGAAATACCTGCTTCTTCAGTGACTCATGGTGTTCCTAACTGACACTCGAACCCAACACCTATCGTCTCAAACGTCACTAGGTTATTCTTTCCAAACCTAACTAAAGCACGCACACCCCATGAGTTGCGATATAGCAAATTAAGTTCACTACATTTAAACTGAAGTTTTTCTTGGGACTTAAGTTTTGAGTCTTGCTAAAGGACTAGAAAATACCAGCATCCAGCAATGGAGATGGATATGGATATGGGTAAATTCTGCCTGAAATTGGCGAGTCTATGTCTAGTCATCGCCTTCCTCGACGGGCAATGTTAGCTGATATAGGGTCAGGCTGGAAAAGAGCTAGCGGCGGTCAAACGAAAACATGGCACCAGTCAATGAAATCTACAACAGTTAGTCTAAGCCACGTAGGAAGGTGTAGACTTCCTGGTCGGGGTCCTCGGGACGGTAAAAACCAATGGTTGGAAACAATTGGTGACATGGCTCAAAATCGTTCTCAGTGGCGCAGATGCATCCACTCCTTGTGATTTCCAATGAAACTGTTTTGTTCTTCGTTATTACTATTACTTTGTCTCACACCTCTGTTTACTGTCTATATTATGCATTTCTCCTACTACTTCTCTTCCTACATGGAGTGTGGCGACTTGAACTGCAGCACATATGTGCAAAGTTCTATGTCAAAAACCGACCGACCGACCGATTGGCGAGTCTGATTCACATCAACTAATTAGCCAAAATGAAGTGTAATAGTATGGAAATAATGTTTGCTCATGAAAGCTGATCCCTTCCATGAAAGTTGATTTCTCCTTGGCGTACCTGGAACACAAGGAGCATTAATGTTGCATGAGGCAAAGACACAACTGCTTCAGGTCGCTTACACACACACAGCCTGTTTGAAGTGGTGTTTGCAGTTGAGTCCTTACTTAGGCAAGTGGGGGTGTACAATTTTCGGTCTCAATATTTTCCAACCCCTCCCCCACTCAGAATCGTTAAGCAACATAATAGCTGCCATAGTGGTCATTAAACGGAAACACCTCACGGTTATTACATCCCCAGCGGTAGAACTTTACCCACAGACCCACAACATAGTATAAGCAGCCTACAATATGACGGTAATTGCTTTTAGTCTAACTACTATCCAAAAGCCTTTTCTATAATAGTAGAACCCAGAGGAACATTAATTCCAGCCAGTACAGCTCGTTGGCTGATTGCGACATATATTCAAGTGCAACCACCACAACAGCATCCAAGGTAGCAGCTATCGGTCAGAATAAAATAAACGACATCAGTTAACAAAATATTCAAGATATTCAACATTGAAATGACATCCATCTCATTCCTTTCGATAAGTCTCTGTAGTAAGGACCACTTTCAGGATAAATAACCCTAACGAATACCAAGAACAACTAACTAATTATAAAATCATCAGCGCACAACAACAACAAGTTAACCAAAGAAACTCAACAAACATACGTTTTCTTTTTTCATGAATAAGTTTCTCTTTTCATCTTTTGTTTATTTTACAATAAAGAATCAAAATTAAATTGTGAAAGGCACCAAATATAGATATACACGTGTATGTATGTATGTTTGTGTGTATGTATGCATGCGTGTGTCTGTCTGTCTGTATGTGTACACGCGTCTATCCAACACCTATTGTTAGATTCCAGTGTAAAATAAACAGGGAAAAATATCTCACTGCCAGTAGGCATACACATACACACAGGCATAATATACAAACATATACAACACACGTATACACACACACACAAGCATTGTGTATATATTTCTCTGTTGTGTGCGTTATTCACTCTATTTTTTTTGGAGGAGAGGGGGTGGGTGGGAGAAATGAACGAAAATCTGAAATTAAAACAGCTTGTAAACAACAAGTCAGCATATACAGTATGTATATATATGTATATGTATATAGACGAAAAGAAAAATACAAACGAAAAACCGGACAGAAATCAATAGAGAAGGGAATATTAATGTCTCTTCTATACTGGTAAAGAATCTTGGTAGGTAGTATGTATACATCTATATTTATATATATCTGTAGTATTTCATGCTTGAAAGATATTCGAAGAGAGATTCAAATACACACTTCATGCATTAGTCTGTAAACACACAATAAGCACAATCTGGTTGTTGATCTTTGGGTATGTGCAGGAACGTGTGTGTGTGTGTGCGTAGAGAGGGAGAGAGAAAGAGATAGACAGACAGACAGACAAATAGACAGAGGTGAATAAGCGTAAATATGAAAATCAGAACAAGACCAGTAAAAAGAAACAACATAAATAATAGTGTAAAAGAAAGTGAGGTTACCTCACCTACCTAACAACTCTCTAACTGGACAAAAAAGGGTGTATATATGTATATAAATAATAATAAAGGTCAATAGATAAAGACGAGTTACAGAAAAACCACACACAAAAAAAATAATGAAAATAAACAAAAACAAATCAAGTCAAATTAAGTAGTATCTTCAAAAATAAAATGAAATAACGCTAAATATTGTATCACCAGTTAAAATAAACATGAGATTACTGTGAATAAGCTGTTGTAGGAAGTGAGAGAAGATAAACCAAGAGAAGATAACAGCGATGATGATAATGATGATGATAACAGCAATAATAAATAAATAAATAAATAATGATCAACGTAATAAGAAATGTAATCACATCACAACATTACGCAAAATGCAAATATCCAAATAATACCGATGATGATGATTATGATGATGTCGAGTAGATTGATGTGAAATGGAAAATAAGCTTGAAAAGTTGTTCAAATAATGCATTCAAGAGGAGGTGGTGATATCGGAAATGGGGAAGGCGCCAGGTAGGGGGGAGCGGGGCGGGGCGGGGCACAAGAAAGATGAATAAATCTCTGATTAGCAGTGTATTGCACGTAAATAATAATAAGAATAAATGTCCAATGTTGTTAGCTCGAAATATGAAATCGAAATACGCAAATATACAAAACCAAAAGTACTTTGAATGAAAAATACAACTAACTGAACTATTCATCTCAAAGTAAAATGGGAAAGTCAACTAACTACCATCTTTGGATAAAAGAAGATCAAGAAGAAGTAGAAGAAGAAGAAGAAGATAGGACAGCTGACTTTTCACTGTAAATACAAATAATAAACTAAAATCTCCAAAAAAAGAGAAAACTTTTCAGTGAAATCAAATCAATATATATGTATAAATAAGCTGGAGTATACACTACAGGGAGTCAGTCAGTGGCATACTTGAACACTATACAAAATATATATATGCGCCTATGCAGATATACACAAACGCAAACACCCAACACACACACACATACACACACAAATTAATATACATATATGCCAGTGTGCATTCTCTCCCCTGTACGACAAATAAGACTTTCACTATAAACATGAATACAGTGAGGATAATAATACATGGAGGGATACATTACTATTACTATTATTATTATCATCACCAACAGTACTACTATTATCATTATCAGTAGTACTAGTAGTGCTAGTAGTATTACTACACTATTATTGAGCAAACAGAAATCTTTGATTCTAACAAAAATTAGACTTGATCACTATTGCATAACATGAAACAGATAGAAAAGAGAGTGACAGTGTGTGTGTGTCTGTGTGTGAGAGAGAGACAGAGAGCGACAAGAGTGTAATGAAAACACCGGCTATTGACCGCGAAAATCATCTCAAACATGCCTGAGAGAAAATACATTTCAAAAGTCTCGTGTATAGGCGCTTTTGTTGTGATGTTGTTCGAATTAAAAGCATGTTTTTTTGGCACAATGGTTTAAGATGAATGATTAACTAGCTAACTAGCTAACTAACTAACTGACTAATTCTGCAGGTGAAGAAGGAAGATGAGACTAACTAACTAAAGTCAGTAATCTCATTGGCGTACACACACACACACACACACCAAATAATATCAGTCAGTCAGTCAGTCAGTTAGTCAGTCAATCAATCAGTCAATGGCCGGATAGGTTACACATCTCAATTGAATGACACTTCTCATCTCATTGGATTTTGATCACTTCTTTTTATCTGCTGATAATGAACGACGATTATGATTTTCACCGATTACAGTAGTTGTGGTTGTAATAGTAGCAGCAGCAGTAGTAGTAGTAGTAGTATTAGTATGAGTAGTATGTGGATTCGATTTGAAATAATTCGATACATTAACAAGTCGTTTATTTGTATGCACTGGTGGTTTCTTTTGATGGTATGAATTCAATGCAATCTTTTGCTTATTAACAACCGCTGAATTCTGTTCAGTAGACTTAACAACAGCAGGAATGTGACAGGACTGATTTGTTGGCGATAGTGATGAAATACCTGAGACTTTTTCAGATATTTGAGGTGGTGGTGATGGTGACGATGAAGGTGGTACAGTTTCGTTTGACAATAATGAATTGGATAAATTTGTATTGGTAACAGGGATAAATGTTTGCACTGAACTACTAATTGGATATACTTTTGTACTAGCTACAGCATTTAAACATGACGGTGAAGTGATAGGTACATAGGCAGCTAAAGATAAAGGCGCTGGAAAAGTGGAAACATCTTGTTTCTTTGCTACAGGTGTTAGTGTAGGACCACTGCTAGAAGGTATTAATTTAGTGATAACCGGCAGGGCATCAGAATTAGTTGAACCTATTGTTTTAGATTCTATAGGTGTTGAAACGGTCGTACAAGTAGTAGTAGTAGTAGTTGCAGGAGCATTGGTGATAATATTAGTGGATGACATTTGATTTTGATTTTGAGAACGATTATCAGCAGAAGATACTGGGAATGGAGATGCAACAGCTGGACGTTTTATACTCGATATTATTGAATTACCATCAGTAGTGGATTTACCACTAACAGGAAATGCTGCATGAGGAAATAAACTTGCAGGTAAACCAACTGTACCAACGGCAGCAAATGGAGTAGGCGGAACATTATTCTTAAGGAAATCAACAACATTCGGTTGAGTTGCAAGTTTCTCAAAATATGGGATTAAATCTAATAGAACGCGATCATTTGCATCATCGAACCATGATGAGATTTGAACCTAAAGATAACAGAAAGAAAAAAAGCAATCACACGATTGAAGAATATTTCCGAGGGAAAAAATTTAATCTCAAAAAAAAAGATGTAATTGGCTGCAACCTAAACAGCTCAGCGATGTAACTGGAGTTTGAATCCTCAGAAGACTGACTGACTGACAGACAACTTGATTTACAACATAGAACTTTGCACAGAAGTCGACCAGTTCACGTTGCCACAGTCTATGCAGCACACAAAGGTAGACAAAGGGAGAGAAAACAAGTTATTTTGGTTGATGGTGACTGACAGTGGAATCCAAAATACGCATTTCGTCCTATCAGTGACTCCTCATCTGGATTCACCTGAATTCCCAGAAAGTGACGATGTCCCCCCACTGAGACTCAAACACTCCATCCATCATTTCAAACGCCAAAGTATTATCCTCTGGACCACGAGAACTGCCTCTTATGCAATGGATAGCATTGATTATTTGTTTCTATGTTAATTTACATTTCCTGTTGATTAAATATGTTGGGTTGAAACGCTGACGACTCTCGATTGGGACGAAACGCGCATCTGGATCCAACTGAAAGTCACCATCAACATCTACATGTGTGAAAGGATTAACAAGCTCAACCGGTCCACTCGTTATCTTTAAATTGGAAGTCGGTTCTGACGAGTCCTACAGCATGACCTTACGTTTCACAGGGCTGAATCGCATATATCAAATGATTCGAAGATTGTTGGTCAAGTTGTTTAGAAAAATCTGCTATTGTGTCAGTGTCTTCACCTAGGATGACAATATCATCCACATACTTGAAATCAACAAGACTGTTCCCTAGTAACAAGTCAATCCTTAATTCGCTAAAGTTAGCTAGAGTTGTATCCATTAGTACACCTATGATGAAATTAAACAGAAATGGAGATGGTGGACATCTCTGACGGATACAGTTGGTTTTCACCACTTCAGATAACAACGCTCCGTAAGCTCTTATACGGCTGCGTGAGTTCGAGAAAGTGAGTTTGTTCAAAGTAACTGACACCTGTTGCTGACAGCCATTAACAATCAAAAAAAAACTAGGTTGACAATAATTTTTAGCAAAAACTTAAAACATTTTTCTCCAGTATATGTACACAGAAATCCTCGAGAATCTAACAATGAATGTTAACACTTTACTAGATTAAACATAGTATAAGCAACCTACAACTATGACAGTAATTGCTTGCTTTTAGTCTGACCGCTATTCGAACGACTTCTAGAATGGCAGAACCTGCAGGAACATTAATTCCAGTCAGTGTAGTTTTCTTTGGGTCATCGCAGTGTACAGGCCCAATCACCACCACCACAACCACATCCAGGTAGTAGCTATCGTAGTCGGGATACGCGTCAAAGAAAGTCAGTAGTTACTTCATAAACTCTTAAAAAGCAAAAAGGAGACGGTTAAAAAACGCAACGAATAGAATAATAACAGAGTTTTGGTGACTTAGATGGTGATCAGGGATGGGTGTACCTATAGACACCACATCGCAAGTGATTTAGGTCGCATATCACTTATAGTATAGTGTCACACAAAAGCATGTCTAAGTCAAAGCATAATAATAAGAACAGTCACAGTGAGTGACTGTGGGAGATAGACTATTGCCTATTATCAACACTTGTACATAATACATCTATATCTAAAATAGGTTTATACAACCGACCTTTTTAAGAAGAGAACAATTAACGACCGAAAGCTGCTACCTTGACGTGGTGGTCGGGCTTGAACACTGCAATGACCCAACAAGCTATACTGGCTGGAACTTATGTTCCTGCAGGTCCTACCATGCCAGAAAGGTTGTTTGGATAGCAGTTAGACTAAAAGCAGTTACCCAATCCAATCCTATGATTTCAAATAAATCAGAAAATATCATGCCGGATCGGTCGGGGCCCGGATTAACAACGACCGCGCTTTCTGCTGCCGTGTCACAGGGCAGAAGTGATAAATACGCTACTGAGACACACCAAATAAAAAAGAACAAACAAAAACAGGCCGTGTGTGACCGGCCTCAAGCAGTTGTCCCCTGGGCTCTGCGGTCACGCAACCAACTTCCACGGTGTGGGCAGCCGGGAAGTAACAATCGCCCTCACAATCCGAAGTGCACGCGAAACCCCTCTAATCCTCGCTCATCTTTGTCTTCATCTTCATCTCTATTATCTTGCCTTCCTTCTACCAATGCAACTCCTCTACTTGTTGGCTCTTCACTTCCCCTTCACTCTGTGTGCACTGATAACGAGGGAAGCCAAAAAGCCACCACCGATTGTCTCCTAAAACCACGCCACCAATTTTATATAGGAGCATTTAATGTTAGGACACTTTACCAAATAGGACAACAAGCATCACTAGCCAAGACTATGGCATCCCGAGCCATTGATGTATGTTGTGTTTCAGAAACACGCATACAAGACCCGAGTGTGGTTATTCACCTAACCCCACCTGGCCAACAGGATGAATCTGCAAAATTCACCTTGAGGGTGTCAGGAGATGCGACGGCTAGCTCACGAGGATTAGCTGGTGTTGGGATAGCTTTAAGTACTAGAGCAGAAAAGACATTACTTGACTGGATCCCGGTAGATAGCCGAATGTGCGCTGTCCGCCTGAACGGATCAGTGAAAAGGAGAAAGGACTGCACTACTCGCCGATGCCTTTTCGTAATCTCCGCCTACGCCCCCACTGACTGCAGTTCGGATGAAACGAAGGATGAGTTCTACCAAAAGCTGTCTAGTTTGCTGCGAAAGGCTAGACGCTCAGATATAGTCGTTTTAGCTGGTGACTTTAATGCTCAAGTAGGGAAATTGTGTCAATCTGAGAAGAATGTTGGTGGCACATACGGAATTCCGTGCCAGCGAACCGACAACGGTGACCGTCTCCTACAGTTCTGTTCAGATAATCATTTGTATCTTGTAAGCACTAACTTCAAACACAAGGAGAGACACTGTTTGACCTGGCGACCACCATCATCAAATCAACGCTGGACACAAATAGACCACATAGCAATAAGCTATCGTTGGCGTGGGTCGGTAGGAGATTGTCGCTCCTTCTGGAACACGTGTGTAGATACCGATCACGCACTGGTCCGCGCTCGTGTGTGCTTACGACTGAACGGACGTAGGAAACAGCTGGCGGTAAACCCATCACGTCCCCAGCTCGACCAGGGATCTAAGTCCCTATTTAAGGAAGAACTAGCTAAACACATATCTGAGTTTGACAGCTGCGCTCACCCTGAAGAAGCCTGGAAGAATATTCAGTCAGCCATAGATACAGCTGTAAAAGCTGTGAATAGGGTAAATCCAAAGGTGAGTAAAAACCATTGGATTTCGACTGCCTCATCCGAACTGATAGATGCTAGAAGACTTATCCCGGCGAGCTCCGAATTCAATGAGGAGCGAAAGCTGCACAAAAAGAAACTTACGAAAAGTCTCCGCAAGGACCGTGAACAGTGGTGGTTGACAAAGGCGAAAGAGATGGAAAAAGCATCGGCGATAGGCAACACTAGGCAACTCTTTAGACTCATCAGGGAAACGGGTGGGAGAAGGCAAATCATAAGTGAGACTATTTCTGAGAAAAATGGCTCCTTAATTAGCTCTCAGGATAGACGTCTGGAGCGCTGGAAAGAACACTATGAGGAGCAGTTTAATTGGCCCACAGCCACACTTAACCTACCGGACATCCAACACCTCCCTGAATGGGAGATAGACACAGGTCCTCCGTCCTTAACCGAGGTTACTAAAGCTGTCACCAATCTGAAGCTAGGCAAAGCAGCGGGACCTGATTTATTGACTCCAGAGGTATTTAAGTACGGAGGCGACAGTTTACTGTCTGCGTTAACGGAGGTTCTAGGCAGCGTCTGGGAATCAGAGGAAGTCCCATCGAGTTGGTGTAAGTCACTGATCATCCCGATATACAAGAAGGGGGACAAGTCGTCTTGTGATAATCACAGAGGGATTAGCTTGACTAATATAGTATCTAAAATCCTAGGCTCAATAATACTGCGTAGATTAAGTGGTGCTCGGGAGACACAAACACGAGAAAACCAGGCAGGTTTTAGGCCAGGTAGAGGGTGTATTGATCACATCTTCACCCTTCGACAGATTTTAGAACATAGGCATTCCTACCGGCGTCCGACAATCATTATATTTCTTGACCTAAAGGCGGCATTCGATTCTGTCGACCGGGAGGTTCTCTGGCGATGCTTGGCTGTAAAGGGAATGCCAAGAAAATACATTACACTGATTAAGGCACTCTACTCGTACTCATGCAGCCAGGTGAGGGCTTATGGCGAGTTGTCATCTGAAGTGGTGACGACTAGTGGCGTCCGTCAAGGATGCCCATTATCCCCATTCCTATTCAATTTCATCATAGACGTACTAATGGACTTAACCCTAACTCACTTCAGCGACTCAGGGATTGACTTGCTACCAGGGAATAATCTCGTTGACTTAGAATATGCGGACGATATAGTCCTTCTAGGCGAGGACTCTGACAAAATGCAGAGTCTACTGAACACCCTGAGCAACAATCTCCGCATGTTTGGCATGCGATTCGCCCCTATAAAATGTAAGATGATGCTGCAGGATTGGACTTCATCGACCCCTAGATTAGAAATAGGAAGTGAAGTGGTAGAACACGTTGACCGCTTCACTTACTTGGGAAGTACCATCAGCCCCAACGGGTTGATCTCCGACGAAATTTCAGCACGAATACAGAGGGCTAGGTTCGCATTCGCCAGTTTTCGCCGTCTCTGGCGTAGACGCGATATCCGACTATCGACCAAAGGGCGTGTGTACTGCTCAACAGTCCGCTCCGTCCTCCTTTATGGCTGTGAGACCTGGCCACTGAGATTGGAAGACATGAAAAGATTAGCTGTGTTCGATCATAGGTGTCTGCGTTCTATCTCCCGCGTGAAGTGGTATAATAAGGTGAGCAATATTGAGGTTAGGCGTCGAGTGCTAGGTAAGGCGGGGAAATCAATCGACGAGACTGTGAAATTACTTCGACTGAGATGGTTAGGACATGTGCTACGTATGCCTAGTCATCGCCTTCCTCGACGGGCAATGTTAGCTGATATAGGGTCAGGCTGGAAAAGAGCTAGCGGCGGTCAAACCAAAACATGGCACCAATCAATGAAATCCACAACAGTTAATCTAAGCCACGTAGGAAGATGTAGACTTCCTGGTTGGGGCCCTCGGGATGGTAAAAACCAATGGTTGGAAACAATTGGTGACATGGCTCAAAATCGTTCTCAGTGGCGCAGATGCATCCACTCCTTGTGACTTATGATTTCCAATTAAACTGTTTTGTCTTCCGTTATTACTATTCCTTTGTCTCACACCTCTGTTTACTGTCTATATTATGCATTTCTTCTACTTCATTCTCTTGCTTTGCGTGCTACATGGATTGTGGCGACTTGAACTGCCGCACATATGTGCAAAGTTCTATGTCGAAAACAGACAGACAGACAGACAATTAACGAACGGATTCACATTGTTACGCAATGTATCATAGCTAGTCAGTCAGTCAGTAGATGAAGATTATTCACACCTTTTAACATGGATAATTAAAGTGTGATGTTCATCAATTATACAATGAATGAATAGTACTCAACAACTAATTGCAATTCCATGCAGTTGACTATGAGCAACACACACACACTTATTATGTGAGAGTTAGTTAGTGATACCACCTGACTGGCCAAATTTCGATAGGTGGAGCAGAGTTTCAACCCATGACCTACACACAACTGGTTGGAAGTCGATCGCCTAGCTAGACGACCAATGATCAATAGCTCCCTCTAATCAATTACAATACTTGAAATGAATTCCTTTTTTTTATAACAACACTAAGGCGAAGAAGAAGAAGAAGAGAAAACAAACTACTTACAGCATGACTTGCATGAAACATATACGATGCTGGGGAATTATCCAAAATAACAACTTGATTAATTGGTCTACCCAAATGACTTAAATCTTTCACATAATTACCACGATGATATACACAGGATTCTCTAAACAACCGATATCGAAAAGCGTGCCATTTGTCAATAAAGTCTGCAACTGGATCAGCATACTAGTTGTTGTTTTTTTAAAACATAGGAGGAGAATAAAAAAAGAAACAGAAAAATAAATATGATTATTACTATAGATCTAATGAATACTACTACTACTACCGTTATTATTATTACTGGTTGGTGTTTAGTAAACCAATTAAGTGGATCGTGTAGTCGAAGAAATGAAACAGGGGAATAAGTGAACAATAATGTGAAGAGAAAAATATAAATTAAAACAACGTATGTATAAATTAATATGGAACTGAGTAAAACTATTTCATCCATTTTCATTGATTTCTAGAACTTCTAAACTATAACTTTTCACTTCTTTTGTATGATTTCAGCAAACTTACCAGCTTCAAAACATTGTACGAATATTTCATGTCCCCAACCATATATTTTTGCTTTCACTATCTGGCTTACCGAAAGCTTTCACCACCATGCATCATCACTTCGTCCCTCCGATTCCTTTACGTTCCCAGTGGAACATATGGGCTACTTCAAGTTAGAGCTTTGAAGTTTCGGTAGCAGTGGTGATTATTTTGACAGGGTGGGATTGCTAGCCACATACATGTCCAACCTTACCTCTTTCCCAGTCTTGCTATCGGTTAAATGAGGTTTAGGAGTGCATCCAGTCGAGGACCGAACCCCGAACCACGTGCATGGTTGGCGAGCGTTCTTATCGTTAATATTTCTTCTCTGGCGATTGGATTGATTCTTCCCGATAACTTATTCATCGGGTTCTATAGTTATATATTCATAATTAATTAGAGAATTAACATAAGGAACATGATTCTGATTCTCAACACTAATGTCAGAAACTTGAAGCGTACGTCACGAAGAGCATTTCAAATGGCTTGCAGACTTTAATCAACAGTTGCTTTCGCTAGCTCGATACTAAAAAATAAGAGGCCTGACCAGAAAAGGAAAGCAAGTGACAAGGAATTCTGGCAACGAATTAACCAAGAACTTATCACCCAATAAGTGTGTCGAGAAAAATGCAGATGGATCGGACACACACACTGAGGAAACCATTGAGTGACACCACTCACCAGGCCCTCTAGGGAAAGATGAATGGGAAGCAACAAGTTGGGCGTCCGGGAGTGACATGGAGGAGGTTGTGTGAGGAGGAATTGAAGGAATATGGGTTATCGTGGTGCCAGGTAAAAAACTTAAAAAGACAGGGTGAAGTGAAGTGAACTGGAGATGTGCAGCATCTGAAGCTTTATGTTCCACTCGGAACCCAAGGGAATAATAATAACAATAACACATAAGAAACTGTTGCTAATTAAGCGAACACTCGTTTTCCAGAAGTTTATACACAAAAAACGGATAGACAAAGCACTGTACCTATCCGATATATGTAGTTCACAAAGTTGAAAAGTATTATGAAGCAAACATTGACACTACCACCGACAACAACAACAACAATCAGGAAGTAGAGACCATTTCACCTACTTACTGATGCCTCAAACACTGCTGCTTTTGATGATACTAATCACAACACTAAATTGAGCAAAAATGAAATTCAAGTATTGGTTTGTAGGGATTTGGTTGATTGGTTACAGGATTTCATCATGAGCTGACATTGGTTAGAGAACCATTGGAAACCTGGGAGTACTGGACAGCTGTTTCGTCCTAGTTTGGGGCTCTTCATTAGTACGCACCCACCGGGGTTCGAACAGAGGACCTTCTGGCTACAAGGCGAGCTCGTATACCATTAAGCCACTGGCTAGTGATTGCGCTATATCGTGAATTGGCAGAAGTTAGAATTCATGGGCCATTGGATCGGGTCCCAGTGGCTTAATGGTATACGAGCTCGCCTTGTAACCAGAAGGTCCTGGGTTCGAATTCCGGTGGGTGCGTACTGATGAAGAGTCCCAAACTAGGACGAAACAGCTGTCCAGTACTCCCAGGTTTTCCAATGGTTCTCTAACTAATGTAAGCTCATGATGAAAATCCTGAAACCAAACCTACCATTATTAGTACTGGTATTCTCTCAGTGCTTATATATACATATGTTATGCCTAGGAGGCATTTTACCAGCAAAATAACCACATTCTTTTTTAAAATAGAACCAACAGCATAGAAAGAGATTTTTTTTCGCATGCGTTGCCTCATTACATGCTTATTTTATCTAGTTGAAATTCCATTGATTAAACTGACCAGCTTACAATGGAGTTTATTTACTAACTAGTAGAGTATTTGTTTATTCTAATTTTAAATATATCATATTATCCTGCTAATAATATTTGTGTTGTTTACTAAAGTTATATGTCCTGCTTTTATACTCCAGATACTCCACTATACAACTAAAATTATAAAAGTACAACTTTTAAGCATAAACATTACAGTTCTTCCTGTTAGCTGGCCAATTTCAAAAGTATTACTTAACAGTTGAATGAAATGATAAAGCTTTCTATAGTGTCACATTCAATATGTTAGATGACTTAGTCAAAAAATATTATTATTAATTATTAAAACAAACAGTCAACGATATTTAAAAAGTACTGTTGATAACTTTAATTACCAAAAAATACCTAAGTGAATTATGACTAACTGTTGTACCATTGAAAGGTGGATTAAAATCATATTCCATCAACTAAAGACCATTCACTCGTAAAGCGTCGTTAGCTTTAACATTTACTGCATATGTGCACTACAAAGCGGTGATATTTCGCTAAGCGTTCAAACATTTATTACTTATTATTATTCCCTTGGGTTCCGAGTGGAACATAGGACTTCAAAAACACATCTCCGCTTTGTTCTGTTTTCTACCTACCTCTTCAACTGGCTCCACGATCTCATCTCTTTCTCCCCAAACGATCTCCTCCATGTCATCTTCACACCGACGACCCACTCGTCGCTTCCCATCGGGATTCCACTCGAGCTATGGTCTGACGTGCTATGTCATTCGGCGGCCTCCTCAATGTATGCCTGATTCATATCCATTTTCGCCTACATAATTGTTGAGTGATCAGCTCTCGCCTGATGGCTTGTTCCTATAGTTTTTTGTTGCTTATTCTTTCTGGCTGTCTGATCTTCAGTATAGAGTCAGAGAAGGCGGCTGTTGATAAAAGTCTGCAACCTGTTGGAAATGCTTTCCATGATGCACCAAATTTCTGACCCATATAGAAGGACTGACTGACTTAAGATTTGTATTGAAAATCCGAATCTTGTTTCTTGAACTGAGGGTATATGATTTCCAAACTGGTTTCAGGTTGATGAAGGCGTATCTTGCCTTGCCTTTTCGATTCTGGCCTGCTTTGACATCTCCATCAATTCTGCCTGTGGTTGAAACCGTGCTTCCTAGATAAGTGCAGGAGGTAACCTCTGACAAATCTCTCCCGTTGATAGTGACTGATGCTGGTTGTTGTTGCTGTTGGTTGGTTGGTTATCTTCATCACCTCCGTTTTCTCTATGTTCACCTGTAGTCCTGTTTTCACTGTCTCTTCAGCCAGTTTGTTGGTTTTCGCTTGCAAGTCTTCGAGTTTGTGTGACATCAGACACATATCATCTGCAAATTCCAGATTTTCTAGAGTCTTCCTATCGATGGTCCAGATTATTTCTGTCTCCTTACTCCCCACAGTGAAGCGTCCAAGCATACGTTTTATTATATTGTTTTCTGTGTACAGTAATGTCTGTTTGTAATTCATACGCACAATATTCCGGTGAGAACACTGTTGGATATGAAAGACATGAGTTTTCAAAGCCTTTCAATGGGATCTTAAGAAGAATTGTCTTCCCCAATGAACAATATTAGCTGACATAAGGTCAGATTGAAAAAGTCAGGGGTTATCAAACCAAACTGTGAAATCAATCCATGAAGTCTTTGACATTTGGTATGAACCATTGACGTAGAAAGATGTACACTGCTTGGTTGGGATCCTCGAGATGCTAGGAACCAATGGCTGGGCTGGAGACTGTTGGTGATATGGCTCAAAACCATTCTCTATGGTACAGATGCATTCACTGTCTATGGTCTCCCAGATTTATTAAACCCTTAACATTTTTCCATGTTAATATGGTTTCTCCCCCATCCCCCCCCCCTCCACCCATATACTTCTGCTCATTATGGTTCTTTCGAATTACGTTTTTCTCTCTTTTCTCTACGTCTTTGTGCTATACGGAATGTGGCAACTTAAACTGCTCCACTATCAGTCGACCAGTCAGTAAGGTGGATTCAATTCCTTAATGAAATGAAGTGACTGAACTTTCCAAGATAGGTAGGGATCAATCAAGTGATGCGATTCAATCAGTGCTAATGAAATTCAATAGAAACTAACTTACAGATGAACACAATGGAATTAACAACAACAACAACAAAAAGGCAAAAAGAGCCTAATTCAGAATAATACTGATCGTTAAAACAAAACCACTGTAAAGTTCTGATTTTGACTCTTGAGAAAAAATAACACTAACTTATACCAAACATGAATTTATATGGTAATGATGATTTTCTCACTGTATTTTTTAATGTTAACTTCCACCGTTTCACGAATATAATGATCACTTTACAGTGGACAACGCAAAAGGAAGTGTTACTTTGCAGTGTTTTGATTGGTTACAAGTTTGATCATAATTTGATATCAGTTAGGGAACCCCTGAAAACCACCAGGGAGTACTGGACAGCTGATTGACAGAGAATCGAAAGAAGTTGGGATTCATAGGTCATAGGATTGAATGATCGAAGAGATCGCCTTGTAACCGGAAGGTTCTGGCGTGGTCATGGGTGCGTACTGCTGAAGAGTCCCGAACTAGGATGGAACAGTTGTCCGGTATGCTCTAGTTTCAATGGTTCTCTTATTTATTACTGTTTCCTTTAATTCCTAGAGGAACATAGGGCTTTAGCCGTGCATCTCAATTGCGTTCGGTTCTCGGCTAGAGTCTTCCCCTGGCTCCAAGTCTGCCCACACGTTTTCATCTCCTCTTCACATCACCTCCTCCAAGTCACCCTACCTTAGCACTGACGACCAACTCGCCGCTTCCCTTTCGGGTTCCACTCGAGCAATGGCTTGTCTAGTGATGTCACTTGATGGTTTCCTCAGAGTATGGCCAATCCATCTCCATTTCTTCATGCCTTTTTGTTGCATAATCCGTTCCTACTGGGTTGGTCCGGAGTTGAAAATCCGGATCTCATTTTTGATGGTGAGTGCTGTTAACCTCCACACAGACTTCAGAGTAGTGAAAGCTTGTCTTGCTTTTCCGATTCTTGCTTTGATATCCTCATCAGTTCCGTCGGCCTGTAGTTGAAACGATGCTTCCCAGGTAGGTAAAGGAGGTTGTTTCTTTGAGGCTCCTCCCATTTATGCTGATTGTTGTCTGTTGTTGTCGCTGTTGCTGTTGGTGGTGTTTCCCAGGAATCTTCATCACCTCTGTTTTATCTATGTTCACCTGGAGTGCTATCTTTGGTGCTTCTTCTGCCAACTTGTTGCTTTTCGCTTGCATATCTTCCAGTTTGTGGGAAATCAGACAGATATCATCGGCGAAGTCCAGATCCTCCAAGTTTTTGTGTGAGTCCATTTTATGCCTGTTTCCTCATTGCCCGCTGTTTGTCGCATTATCCAATCTACTGCAATCTGGAAAATCATTGGCGATAGTAGTCAGCTAGCTTTTCTTACTCCTGTCCTCACTTCGAAGGATTCCGTGAGTTTCCCGTTGTGGAATACTTGGCATGCAGCATTGTCGTACAGCTGTTGGATGAGATGTATAATTGTCTGTGGCACCCCATAGTAGCGAAGTAGTTTCCAAAGCACCTCTCGATCGACGCTGCACTATCGAAGGCCTTTTCAAAGTCGATGAAGTTGAGATAGAGAGGTGACTGCCATTCCAAGCTCTGTTCAATGATGATCCGTAATGTGGCGATCTGATCAATACATGACTTGTTTCTCTTGAATCCAGCCTGTTCCGGTCGAAGTTTTTCATCCAGGGCTGGTTTGATTCTCTCCAGGATGATGAGGCTTAGTATTTTGCTTGGGATGGACCATTGGTTCTCTAATTGATATTAATCCGTGATCAGACTCGGAATGATTATATTGATTATAGTCCCACAACGACAAATGTACACAAGGGAACACTAACAATGGGAAGTAGTAACACAGTGTAAAATCTCGGCAGCACATAATGACTGCCTTTTAACAGCTGAGACATTTGCACAATAATTGCATGAATTCAAAAGTCACATGAAAGTAGAACGAAGCATAATAGAATTCCAAGCCTAAGCCTAACCAACAATTTCGTGCACTAATTTCTACTCACTGAAAAGAAATCTGCTACACACAATAAATATTGAGCAAAATGTAAAAGTCACATTCTGAATTATAATTAATATTGGATAAGGCGAAAAGCGAACATTTCGCCTGCCATCTAGTCGGAATTGTTCATTAAAGAGGACAAGTTGGCGTTGAAAAATAAAAACCCTACAAAACAATGATATCCTTATCATTACTGTCAGATCAGATAAGGGTTCTAGTTTTGCCGTGATAATAATGAAATTACCAATGTCACTAATTGATGATACGATGAGATACCAGGCGTGACTGTCACAATATGTTCATTCTTGTTTTGTTGAAACTAATCAAGGAAATAGAGTGCACCAATATACTGTCTATCACTGCTGAAAGAGTATAAACAAGGAGAGAACGAACATATTCCTACGCTCTTTGTTCAAACTAAACAGGTGAACCATTTGAGTGTGAAACAGTATAAAAACTGTGCCCATTGTTAAGATTGGCAAATACCAGTGAAACATTAGTTTGGTTTTATTTAGAGATAATAACACATAACAAGACGACATAAATACTTCCTAAAGGAATTATTCCCCAAAATACAATTACCACAAAAGGACAAACAGTAAGCAGGAGAAACAGTTACGTAATACCATGATAGGCCCAATGTGCGTCGGTGGTTCAGTGGTTCACAATGCTGACCAACCAAGCACACAGTCCATGGTTCGAGTCCTGAACCTCACTTAGCTAGTTGTAATCTCGACAAAGAGAGACGGTTAGGCGTGAGGCTATCAACCCCACCCCGTGAAAAATACCACTGCCACTGAAACTTTAAAGCTTTAGATAGAAGCCCTGTGTTCCACTAGAAACGCAAAGGAATAAAATTTTAAAAAATAATAAAAATACCACGACAGAAACTCGTTACTATATATGTATATATATATATACTGCAAACTGCAAACTATATGAGTTAAAGCATTATAGTGCAATTCAATGCTCTCAATGTATTAGGTGAATCTATTTCATTCATCCACTTTAGACAATCTAGGTTTGCTTAATAATGTAATCACTAATAAATGCGAAAGGTGAAATTTAACATATTGAAACGTTGAATCGATCAAATTTTTGTCAACATAACAACAACAACAACAAAAACTTAAAAATCACATACTTTAGCTAAACTAGCAGTGAACAATACACATTCATATAAATTGGCCATTGTTGATAGGAATAAATCGACATGTGGTCGTTTGAGAACATATACACGATGTGTAACTCCATCAATTTCAACTCCAACCTTAAAATCTGCATGTTCAATCACCTGCATAATAGAAAAAAGAAGGTATTATATATATTACAAAAAAAGAGAAGGCAAAGAGAAGTAGTCACACATAAATTGATGATCCACAATCATTCAGAATAACAAATGATGGCAAAGTTAAACTATCATAGCCAAAACCACAGTGATCTTGAATCAACAATAAGAAGTCAAATGCAAAAATAGTCGCCTAATCGTTGAAAAATACACTGAAAGATATTGCAGACTTGATATTTCACTGTATAGTTGTAGCTTATGCGTTGTAAGAATGTCTCCCAGTCAATACACAGATGATGTATAGAGAAATCGTACCATGACCGATATACCCATTCATCCAGGTTACCTACAGTAGGGGTTATGGTATGGTACTTTGAGATTCATTGATATTTACGGCACTATTCTTCAACCTACTCCTAACTCAATCTTAACTTTAACCCTAAACCTAACCTTAACCCTAGATCTTAAACGCCATAACTCTATCTAACAGTATAAATTTGCAGGAAAAAAATGCCTAGAGAATAAGTAAAATACTGTATCTATCTTCTCCAAGTCCAAAAAGGCAGGCATGACTTGATTTGGAATGATGTTTCATAGCATTTCCTGTGTCTAATCGATCCTCGAAGGTCAACTTTTGAAAGACCTTGACTTCGGTTATGATACTTTAACTTCGTCCAAATGATATTTGTATTATATATTCTATTGCATGCAAAAGTTACAGATCAATTATGCACGACAGAAGAACTAACCAGTGACAAATCATTCATCTAAATATCAAAACACAATCTTATTTAAACCATAGAAGTACAACACAGCATTACTTTTCGTGTCAACACTCACTCTATGCAGTAAGCCAAAATACAACTAGACACGTTTATTTCCCGATATGAATTCAGAACAAGAGAAAAAATGTTAGTAAAGTTGGATTTTTTTAATGAACTCATTAAAATTATTACGTGGCAAAGAAAACTTGTATTCCTTAACACCACTAAGTGAGTAATTCAAAAATCTGGCAAAAAACGGTCGCTAATCCTTAACACCCCCAACTTTGTGTATTTGTGAAAGCAAATACCTAAGTCGTACAGATAAGCGATTGTCTACTCTCATGACGGGGCATCCGTCAAAATAGTTGAGAATAGCTGAATTCAAAGTGCCAAAAAGCTCAGTAACAAAGCATCTTGTGGACTACGGAGGTAGTATCGATGCTGTCAGGTCATTCACTGTTTATCAGCAGACAAAGAAAGCTGCTGCTGCTGGATTCAACATAGAACTTGGCACCGAGATGCAGCAGTTCGAGTTGCCACGTTCCAAATAGCACACAAAGATAGACAGGAAAATGAGTGAAGAGAATCAATTGTGTTTTGACAAGTATAAGAGTGAAACAGAATGAGTAATGGTAGAAAGGAATATGAAAGATTACAGAGACTGAATACATCTACGCCACTGACAACGATTTTGAGCCATGTCACCTATTGTCTCCAGCCATTGATTCTTAGAGTCCCGAGGGCCCCAACCCGGAAGTCTGCATCTCCCTACCTGACTCAGTTTGACTGTCAGGGATTTCATGGATTGATGCCATGTTTTTGTTTGGCCACCACTTACTCTTTCCCAACCTGCACCTATATCAGCTAGTAATGCCCGTCGGGGGAGGCGATGGCTAGGCATGCGCAGCACGTGACCTAACCATCTCAATCTATGTAACTTCATAGTCTTGTCGATTGATTTTCCCTCTTTGCCCAACACTCTACGCCTAACGTCAACATTACTTACCTTATTATACCACCTAACGCGAGAAAGAGATCGTAAACATCTGTGGTCAAAAACAGACAATCTCTTCATGTCTTTGAGTAGACAAAGAAAGAGGAAGATGCTTGCAATTGCGGAGGCTTGTGAAATTCCAGTTTATAAACTAGGTCTCCGTGTACAAAAGAAAATGATAGTCACTCTGAATATGCCATGGTAATACATTTTAATTATTAACTGTTATTATTATCATTATTTTATTACATCTCTTATTATTATTCTCGATTCATTTAAAATTATCTTTTCTCAACACCGTTATCTTAGCCTATTTTATTATTATTATTAATATTATTCATTTTACAATTCTTGATATTTTCAAGTTCTTTCTCTGATAACTAATTTTTTATTGAAGTGATGTGACTGAATCATAACGCATTATCTTAATTTTAATCTCTCATACTCTCTTCCCTCTTGTCTATCTCAGCATGACCTGTAAAACATTCTCACTTGTTGTTTTTCCAGCTGGATTCAATGTAGTTTATTTACTTATCAGTCATATATCTATCTCAACGTATCTCTGATAGTATATATATATATATATATATATATATATATACATGTTACTGTATGAAGAGCATTCAGCTGAAGAGTCCCATCGAAATTCGAAGAATTCATCAAATCCTGCTTTGTTAACATTTTTTGCTTGTTTTAGAAAGAAAGTCATACAAAACACGTAAAAGAACTACTTGGTGACTAATTCACAAATTTGATATAGTTATGAAGTGATAAATCTGTGCAGACCACACTTAAAAAGTCACACATACACATATCTCCACGGATGATTACTGTATTGTATTTCCTTGTTGAACATATTCAACATGCTCACAATCCACATGTGACCAAGAGCCTGAAAATTCAGAAACTATATATCGCTCAAAGAAAAGTAAACAACAGTCCTCCACACTACATTTAGGATTAAGTACACACTTGTATAACTCGCCAGCTCCACAGGCAAAGTAACTTGAAAAACATTAACCAAGAGAACTGTCTCCATGTTGTTGTTTCGTCAATCAATGACCCATCGGGATAGACACATCTCTCCGGTGAAAAATATCACAGACAAATTGAACCACCTTACCTTTTATTCTCCTAAATAATGTATCCGTGCACACTATGCAGTTGTGAAATTCTATTTTACATTCAGACAACACAAATAATCCTTTTATTTAGTGCTCCACCGATACGGCATACGTCAACTTAAGCCATCTCTAGCTTAACAAACGTGATATCCAGCTGGCTGTAAACCAAAAGACGTGTGTACTGTTCAGCAGTCCACTCCGCCCTCCTTTATGGCTGCCAGGGAGACATGGCCATTGAAAGTGGAAGATAGGAAAAAGCTATCTGTCTTTGATCATAGGTGTCTGGTTTCTATCTCCCGTGTGAAGTAGTATAGTAAAGTGAGCAATACTGAGGTTAGGCGTCGAGTGCTAGGTAAGGCGGGGAAATCAGCCGACGAGACTGTGAAATTACATCGACTGAGATGGTTGGGACATGTGTTACGTATGCCTAGTCATCGCCTTCCTCGACAATGGGCAATGTTAGCTGATTTAGGGCCAGGCTGGAAAAGAGCCAGCGGTGGTCAAACCGAAACATGGCACCAGTCAATGAAATCCACAACAGTTAGCTTAAGCCACGTAGGAAGATGTAGAGTTCCTGGTTGGGGTCCTCGGGACGGTAAAAACCAATGGCTGGAAACAATTGGTGACATGTCTCAAAATCGTTCTCAGTGGCGCAGATGCATCCACTCCTTGTGACTTATGATTTCCAATGAAACTGTTTTGTTCTTCGTTATTACTATTCCTTTGTGTCACACCTCTGTTTACTGTCTATATTATGCATTTCTCCTACTTTCTTCTCTTGCTTTGTGTGCTACACGGAGGGAGTGTGGCGACTTGAAGTGCCGCACATATGTGCAAAATTCTATGTCGAAGACCGACCGACCGACCGACCGATATTGCTCAAAATATTCGTTCTCAATGGCTGGAACGGATGCATTCACTTTGTGATTTATAATATCCAATAAAATTCTATTCTTCCATATTTCTATTTTTTGCTTCATATTTTTGTTTATTATCTCTCTTTTGAATCTTCTTTTGCTCTCTTCTCTTGCTTTGTGTGCTACATAAAGTGTGGCAACTTAAACTGCTGCACATCTGTGCAAAGTTCTACGTTGAAACCAGTCAGTCAGTCAGACATGACATAATATGCAAGTTAAATGAGACTCAAAGTCACTCAATAAATTATTAATTTTAAAATATTACCTAACTAGAGATTAATTACCGAGTTTAAAACAATAATTAGGGAGTAAAGTAATCGTGTTAAGTAAACCAGAAGAAATATCAAAACAGACTGCTAGTCAGCTGATACTTAACAGTCCCTGTGTTGAAAAGAAACTTTAACTAGTGCTCCAGTATCTTTGAATGTATTGAATATTCTATTATTTAGTGTAGACGACATTGTTAGGCTCTTTAACAATGCATCAAGTAAGATTTAACGAATATCAATTGATAAATGCCATCTACAAGCTCACTACATTTCTAACATTACATACCACCACTTCCAAAATTATAATACAAACAATTACATACTTCAGCAAGGATGGACGTAGCTTAGTGGTTTAGGTGATCACTTCTCAAATTTACGCACCACATGTGTGTTAAACCTTATTTATCCACTGAAGCCTGGGTACCCCCTCAAACACAAGAGATGTAACTCATCGCCAAGCCCACTAATTTGTGTGTGATTGTTTAGTAATGGTGGTCTGTTGGAATAAAATTGAAATATATAGGGAGGAAAGTATGCAGTGACAAGTCATTTACATTAGGAAAAAATAACGAACTATATCATTTACCTGAATTAATGACATGGATATTTAACTCTTAAGCAATGTACTTACATTCCAAAGCCAACCCTACTTTGGCCTGGATAACCGGATGGTGTGATAGGCAGCCACAACATAATGCAGAAATTTATATCAAACTGTTCAATTGCAACATCTTACTTATCGAATTCAAGTTCTAAGTAGACAACAACTACGATAGAGAAAAACATGACTAACATGCATAGAAAGTTATAAGTAAAGTGATTGGTGTGAAATAACAAGATATAAGTATTCTGAAGAAATGTGCTCACCTTAAACGAACTGTGTACAAGAGTTTCATCCAAGTCAATGACAAAACACTTTTTACTCTTATCTGCTTCACTTTTTGGTCCAAGCAAGGCTGTTTGATGCTTAAAAAATAAAGCGGATAGAAAGAGAAGTGAAACGCTGTGATAAACTAGAAATCAGTGTGAACGTAAACGAAATTAACACCAACCAATAATCAGTTTTCATTAGCTTACCCGACGAAAAAGTACATCGATGCGAGGTGTATAAAGTAGACTTGCATCTACCTTAATAATTCTATGCGCCGCCGATCGAAAACATAACTAATCAGAAATGAGAAAATGGTTAAAATATCCTATTTACTCAGTTAATAGTAAGTGTATACATGTATATATATGTGTATATATTTGTTTCATGGTTGTAAACAAAACTAAACTACTTTTAATCACTACAATGGATCAATAACATTCAACAAAGTCGGTGTCCCAGGATTACCTATGTCAGAACAACAAAACCCCGGGAAAAAATACTGATTGCCACTTTCCCACTACAAAACTGTTCATCATGCATACAAATGCTGGACCTGCAACAATTACTAATCACTCCACAGATCGCACTTCAAATTAGTACGGCGAAAGTCAAAATGGCTACCTATCCTAGGTTTGGAACACTTTAAACCGGCACTATCTGCAAGACTTGGAAAAAGCCGGCTGGAATGTGTGCACTGTAAAGAGACTAACAAATGGCATCACTGGATAAGGCTGACCATTAGTTCCATTCAGTAAGCAGCATTCCAAGTATGTTGTGTGTCAGCTTTATTCTCTGCGTTATCTTGTGTCACTGTGATAGTTAACATGGACTTTTATAGGGATCATCATCTAATCAATACCTACTTCCCATCAAAAACAACACTGAGATGTGGAAATCACAAACCAAAGCACTAGCAACTGGAACAAAACAAATAAAGCTTTTGGTGACATAAGAGAACCTGTAAACTATTTATGCCATGAAAATATAGTGCCCTTAGCTATCTGACGCTAGAAATAGATTGGTGTGAACGCTGAGTATAAAGAGCAGATTTTAGATTGGTCGTAAAATTTTTCAGATAGATCCTCATTAATTCTCTGCTAAAAGTTGCTGACAATAATAAGAGGCGCATATTTAGACAGGGCACAAAATATTCAACATTTTTTAGGCCCACCTTTTTAGCACAGGAAGGTATTGCAGTCAAAATCACCTTTATTTCAGTTAAGTAGCAGTAAAACCGAGTAATATTTTTACTGTCAGACGTACATTACAACGCTGTCAATCCCAATACAATACAGTATTTTTTTTATTATAGCTTGAAACCACACAGTATTTTTGGTAGAAGCATGGAATTTTCAGCATGTGATATCGGTAGCCCAAATTTTGCAGGCCGACCATAGATATCAGGTGTGCGTCGGCAAGGGGTCGAACCCCAGACCATGTGCATGTTCGGCGAGAGTGTGCTTTGCCACCGACGCACATGAATTTAAAAATCTGTCTATTTAACGATTTTGTGAATATCTCTTGTCAGAAGAAATTGTCAAAATCACTCCTTTGTGTAGATTCTTTCACAAGTGTACTCATCATAATGTCCAAATCCGTATTCAGTTACCTGTCTACCATCTCAGACTTCAAAATCTTATTAATGTAAATAAATATTACTTTCCTTTGATTATCGGTATTGTTTACGTCCTGTTGTTATCTCTTTCCCTGTTTTTATTCTACATAATGACGTAAAGTGTAGACACCTAAAGTAACATATCAATGTCAGTCCATATTTTGTAAATGTTTTAAACTAAGACTCACAAAAGTACGGTCGGTCACCAAACCAAATGGACAACTATCAGTCAACTAATTCTCATTAAGTGAAAGCATTCAACTTATATAAACCATAGCAAACAAATTATTGTTTAAATGTTTGAGTAACTGGAAAGGTCACTGAAGAACTTACACCTAATTGTCTCTCTTACTTAAATTTATGTTGGGATGATGCAGCATTCAAGTACTATATTACTGAAGCTAAGCAAAACAAAACATGAACAGAAAATGTTGATTGAACTACAAGGTTTCACAGCCTAGCGTGTGAAAGTTGAATGTGGTAGATACAAAAAACTAGTTGTTTTCACTATGGATGTCGGTGTTCATTTCCGTGTCCTGAGTGATGCAGTATGGCCAACAACAATATGGCAAAACCCAGCATTACGGAAGGTAAGAAAGTCGGTGGGTTTATGAAGCGCTATCAATTAATATGGCTATACGTTCCACCTGTACCAAATCGTCACCTCCCTCGAAGAACAATGTTATCTGATATAGGTTTAGGATGCAAGAGAATTCAGAGCTTTCAAAGCCGAACATGGTACTGATTCATCAAACACCTGACCGTCGGCTATGGTTTGAGTAATACAGAAAAGTGTAGACTGTCTTGATGTGATCCTCGAGATGTCAAGAGTCAATGGCTGGAGGCTTTTTGTGTTATGGCTCAAAATCGATCTCAATGGAGCAGGCTTGTTTGCTCCGTATGACCTTTCAGATTCTGGAAATCCCCACTTATTCTCATCTCTTCTCTCCAGTGCATTTCTGTTTATTGTGGTTTTACTGCATTTCTTTTATTTCTACCCTTATTTGTGGTTTTGTGAACTGTGACAGCTTGGACTCCTGCACTCTTGTGCACAATTATACGTAGAAAACTCAGTTCAGTTAATAGTTCTGCTTGGCATGATCTACACAAACCAAGCCAGACGAAATTTTGTACAATTCCTAAGCTGGCTTTGTAAGCAATTAAAAACTAGAATAGTTAGATGCACAGTTAACACAGAACTCACCTCATCAGTATTTACAGTTTCCGGCAACGCCTGACTTGGTAAAGGTGAAAAAACATGTGACTGGTCTACATCTGAGTTTTTCTCTGTCTCAGAGTGGGACGCACTGCTTTTAACAGGCCTCGTGACGGTTGTTCCAAGAACAGGGTCATAATGCTTTGTCTTACCAACGCTTGTTTCTTTCCTACGACTGAATCTGAAACTTCGCCATCCTTGACGCTTCGTTCCATTGGAAGGAATAGTCTCAGTTGTCATACCTACTCGTTTTGTTTGTGAGAGAAGTGCGTCTGTTATAAGGGCACAAGAAGGCAAATTGACCACTGGTTGCAGTCTGACGACGCTTGAGTTTTCAGATGTGTCAGAAGGTTGAACGGAGTGATTTGATCCAGTCTTCCTGGAAATACTGAGAGACTCCATCGACTGAATCGCACTAGTTGGTAGAAGTCGGCGATTGTTATCAATAGGAGGGTGTTCTATGTTGCTAGTGCACTCTGTTCCCGGAACTAAACAGCCACAAAGCATAATGTTCAATGACTTCTGACGACCACGTTCAGTACTGCGTATGGGATTAGAACGCTTGGTACTGCGTGCAGACCTTTCTTTTGGATAGTGTTTAATTTCAACTGAAGCCTGAATTGGCTGACTTTCACCATCCTTAATGATGTTATGTTTCATAGTATCATTTTGTACCAACATCACGACTTCAAGAGTGAGATAGTATAACTTTAAGGCAGAAATACGAGTGAAAATAGGCGTAGAGATGAAAAATACTTGGTAGAAAATCCTATCCAAACAGAGTCATATATTTTTAAAGTGCATCCGTAAAAAAATATTTACGGGACATAGAACTTGTGTAGGGAATATGTTTAATAATTGACGCTATAGTCTCCAGAACTACTGCAAGACATTTTTAATAAATAAAGTATCTTATGTTTACTGTTGAAAATGTGTATAATCCAGAGATATAATAAGAAGAATAACTGACATCCTCTTAAAATAGTTGTCCACTTGTTGTTGACACAATTCTTGAAAACCGCGCTAATTTCTATAAATTTTCAAGGAACAATTCTTGGATCCTCTTCACCCAATCAGAAACTAGGCTGATTACTTCTCTTAATCTACAAAACTAACAACTCTGTAGAGATATGAGCTCTCCATAAAGGTATATCAGCAGACGTATTCGACTTTGTTCACTTGTTTAGATTCATATCAGGATGACAGACGATAGTAAGAATTTGTAGCAGCTGTTAACTCATGAAATATCCGTCCTCGTACAGAGCTTTCATAGATGAGGCTACTGCCATTTGATCGAGTAAGGAGTTGTAGTCTTTTACCATCCAATATGGGAATCTGAAGTTTGTTCGACAGCGGCTTTCAGATTCAGATTATAAGGACAGGAAGCTCTTGTTGCCTATGTTGACCACTGTGATATATATTTCTGCAGAGATCCAGTTTTTCCTTGAAAGCGTTCACCGATGGAGCTGTTACTATGGAATTAGGTAAGGAGTTCCAGCCGTTAACCACTCTGTGAGAGGATCTAAATTCCACACGTATTTCGTTCGACCTTGGTTTGAGCACCTTCTTGTGGTGACCTCGCAAATGTATCCTAGATGGAGAGAAAAGGTTTCAGATTTCAGATTTATGGGTTGAGGATAGAAGACTTGGAGCCTGTGTTAATACTTCTCTAGTAAATTTCTGTGCTCTTCTAAACCCTTCTTGAATGAATCAGTTGAGGTTGCAGACACCACTTCTTATGGGAGTCAGTTCCAAGAGACCATGACTCTGTGTGAGAACCGTTACTCAAAAAATATGATTTCTTCTTGGCTTTTGAACTCTCCTGTTACGTCCTCTAAGGTGTTCTGACCTGTTGGGACGGAAAAGAGAGAATAGGTCAGGTCCGTAGTCATTATTTAAAATTTTAAACATTGTAACTAAATCTCTCTACCTACGGTATGACAGAGAAAAGAGATTTAAACTTTTTAGTCTTTCGTCGTATGATGAATTATTCATGCCGAGAACCATACGTATTGCCTTCCTTTGAACCCTTTCTAGAATATGTGAGTCCCCTTTAAGACAAGGATTGGGTGCCTGGATACAGTTTCCTAGTTTGGAGGTTGAAGGTATCGACGTTCGCGAACTGTGCGGAGTATACTAACGCAAGATCTTATACCAACAACTTCTGTAGTGTTCGCTCTTCGAGTACCAAAGGCAAAGCAAAAGACCAGATTTAGTCGTCCAAAGTACGGTATATATTTCGGGACCAAATCGCGGGCTGAAGTGAATGCTTAGCTGGCTAGTAATTGTGCACGCACGTGACACGACGGAGTACCAAATGGCGGGGATGCTTGACCGGAAGCCTTCAGCTAAACAAGTCGACTTAAACAGTGAGGGTCAGCATCCAATGTTGAGTGATGATTGCTGTGGTCAATAATTTTGGGGAATTATTTTGTAGGATTATTTTTGTCCTACAGATTTAGTCCTTCCTCAATACTGACGACACAGAGTCTGGGCTTAACTATAGTTAAAACAGAATGACTTGACTTAAACTTTATCTGTTTCTAAAACATAAAATAAATCATACAATTACACCAAGAAAAATGTACAAATCCACTGTCATTACAAAAAAGGACAAAAACGTACCGAACAGTATTGAGGGTACGGACAAAATGAACAGTCAATTAATTACATGTATACACAAATAGAGTGACAGACAAAAAGGAACATTCAAGGTGACATCACGTGGTGAGAGTTACAATAAATTGACCAATAATCGCGACAAGAAGGTCACATCATATTGATTAACTGTCTATCATATAGTCTATCTATCTGTCGCGATTAACACTCCCCGCGAACGATCACCACGTTGATTTCTTGTACCTGGAACCATAAAGTTGTCTGCGTCTTCCAACAAACATACGCTTCTTATATCTTGTTCCACTTCTTGAGTTGAAGTTTTCAATTACACTGTCCTGACGCGGCCATCTTGGTCATAGTACATCTGCTTAACTATAGCCTTTCGCCAGAGACCTCTCTGTGTGTCAGCACTGTTAACTAAGACGAGATCATCAGGTTGTGGGTTGTGCTTTATATCCAACCACTTAGATCTTGTTTGTAGCATCAGAAGATATCCACGTAGCCATTTATGCCAGAGCAAATCAGTCAAATATTTTGGAAGCAGTTGACTATAGTGTTGGAAGAAAGCATATCCATACATAGCATTCGCTTTACCTTTGTAATATTGTAATTTCCTTAAGAATTCACCAATTGCTGCACGAGCCACAGTTAAAAGACTTTTTGGAACGACTACTTCATCTGTACGTACCATAAAATTGTCAGCTACAATCAAAACTCGCAGAATCGCATAACAAGCACAGTAATGTGCTTGACACCATGATCCAATGTCAACAGCATTTTCTGTTGGAGAATAAAACTCTATGGAAGTTACAACTGAAGGAATCATTGACAACCAATTAATATAGACTACATCTGAGACATCGCCTTGAGGACAGTCGGTATTCAGACCGAACTGCTCCAGAACAAGAGGTAAATCAGATAAATAAATTCCAACGCACTCAGCTCGACACTTATGTATTGCAGATGAAAGGTTTGAAAACTTGCTGTCATACGTTTCTCCTGGTTCACACCAACCTTTTACAGGACCTCCATTTATGACATATTCAGTAGTTTTCGTGTGGAAATTTCGTTTTCCATAACAATCACGCCGAAACAGTTTACCTGAACCATATCCCATCAGTTCATGAAGTCCAACTTGTGATTCAAAGGAACTTTCAGCATGTTCCACGTACATTTGTTTGTCTTCATTACGTAGAAATTCTGGTTTAGGATCCTCGAGACGAACACTAAGTACATTATTCAAAGAAACATTTTTAAATCCATCAACTTGTCGTACATCATCATAGTTAGGAATATTAGTTCCAACAGGAATTCCAGAAGTTTCAAACGTAACTACATCCAAACTAGTAAGGTCTGGCTGTAAGAAATTAACTTTTTCAAATGTAGAAGGCCATGGTAAATTTGTTAACAACCTTTCAGCATTATTCACAAGTCGTTGGAGTTTTTTAGACACTGATCTATTTACAACAGCGACAAATAATTCAAACCTTGCACGAACACCAAAGGGATCACGGTATGACTCTATAAACCCAATATACTTTTCAACAACAGGGTTCTTATCTTTAACCCATAACCTGAAGGCATCATTGTGAGTGGCTACTGAGCCAGTAGTGAAGCTTTCAGCATACTGATGCCACATTTCTGATTCAATTTGGTTAGGCGAATGTGCTTTGAATTTTTTACAACAATCGACTAGTAACTTCATCAGCTCACTATAGTCACCACATTGAAGCTGCGAATATGTGTCCGAGGGAAGGGCATCTCTTGACTTCTTACGACGTTGACGTAGAGAGATTTGCAGGTCATGGTAACGTTGGGCTAACTGTCTTTGTTTTTCTTGGATAATAGGAGCGTCGAAATGACTTTCTGCAGCAAGCGTGTCAGCTTGGACTTTGAATGCATCTATACGTTCACGACGAGTACCTACATCATATTCAAGCAACTTGTGCCGCCTTTGTGCGTTCATCACACCGTTTAGATCACGACCGACATCCTCTGAGGCTATCTGAGCTTCAAAATTATTCAACCATAACTTGACATCTTCTACGTTGCGAGCGAACCGTCGTTGCCTACTTGCTTGACCTAAATTTTTCTTGTCTCTCATGGCATTTACGAGATGAGACCAAGTTTCATCCAACTGTTCAATCTTTACTTTTATTTCTGGTGAGTTGTAGTGGTTTGCATTTAACAAATCCTGACCTGTCTTTTTAATATCTTCAACGCGGGATTGGTTCGCTTGTATCTCTGCCTCAAAACTCTGATGCTTCTGCACCTTTGTTTGCAAATTCGTGGAGTCTTTGTAACTTTCATCAAGTGCATTTCTAAGTTTTCCTGATATCCATGACTGCATTTCATATGCATCTCTATCGAACATTTGGTAACCGTGGGAATCTTCAAGACGCTGACGGCGGTTCTGAGCTTTCTCCTTTAATGCATTTCGTCTACTTTGAAGAACTTCCTGAATCTCATGAACCTGTGCAGCCGCATAGTGGTTTGATTCGATTAAGTTTGCAGCGAATTCATCAAGTTGTCGCATCTTTTCTTCTTGTGCTAAAAGTGACTTTTCGAAGTCTTCATGTTTCCTTATAAGTGCTTCGACAGAATCGAGTGAGTCCTCCACATCATTTATTTCTAAGAGAGCCTCTTGCTTACCAATCCAAGATTCCGACTGTTCAGCGTCGCGGTAAAAATACTGAAGGCCCATACACTGTTCTAGCTGTTCACGTCTTTCCTCACACAACTGCATCAGGGAGGCTCTCTCTTTCAAGGGTAGAAAGTTTAGCAACTATGTCTTCACCACAGGGATGGCCAACACTTAGTAATGCCTGACCTTCTTGCATGCATGTATCGAAACTGTCAGCTCGAGAATTTATCTCAGCGGTGTATTCCTTATGTCGCTGTACTTGGGCTTCAGCACCAGCTACATCCTTTGCCAAATCATCCGCCGATATTGACGTCTTCATGTCATTCATCCAGATGCTCAAGTCTCTCCAGTCAGCCAAAAAGCGATGCATCTTGAATGACTGTTCCAGTTTACCTTTCCTATCTACAGCCTGACTTTTCAGCTTATCCCATGCAGTAATTAAGGCGTCATATTTGCCTTGTATGGTGTCTTGCGAATCAGGATGCTTCTGTGCAAGCGCCTTAGCACCATCTCCAAGTTGAACAATCCTTTTATCCGGCGCAGTCAAATCCCTTTCTAATGCTGCGTGCTCCCTTTGTAAGTCTTGGACTGAGGCAAGATCACGACCACAGTCCTCAATGGATAGAGGAATGGACTTTTCATTCACCCACGATGTAGCTTTATCTGTTTCTAAAGAAGCGCTGTATCTCATAGGCTTCCAGGCGCTTTCCTTGTCGTTTTCTAGCCAGATCCTTCAGACGTTCTGCAGCTCCCGGACCTG